GCCTGTCAATCTCCCGTTTCATCCTTCCCTCACTCGTGAACAAGACCCCAAGATACTTGAACTCCTCCACTTGAGGCAGGAACTCTCCACCAACCTGAAGGGAACAAGCCACCCTTTTCCGACTGAGAACCATGGCCTCGGATTTGGAGTGTCTGTTTCTCATCCCAGCCGCTTCACACTCGGCTGCAAACCGCCCCAGTGCATGCTGGAGGTCCTGGTTTGATGTGGCCAACAGGACAACGTCGTCTGCAAAAAGCAGAGACGAGATCCTGTGGTCCCCAAACCAGACTCCCTCCGGCTCCTGACAGGTGATTGATTGATATAAATGAACAAAAAATTTAAATACTCAGGTAAAATACCTTGATCTGAAAGTACAGTACAGTATCTGAGTACAGTACTGACATTCCAGCACTGGCGATACCTACTGTACAAGGTCACAGAGGAGTGGATCATCAATAGGACCATCAGTATTTTTGGTCAAACATTACCAGGGTTTAAAGGTTATTCTAGTCCGATTATATTGTCCGCCCCACTCTCGGATTTCAGAGCCTTGTACCTGGAGAATTGCTGCTGCAGTGAAACCATCTGCGCCCGTCCCAGCTCAGACTCCTCAGTCACTTCCCGGAGACGCTTCTCACTCTCCAGTCTCAGGCGTCGCTCTTCCTCTAGCTCGTGGATCAGCTTTTCTCGCTGTGGACACATAATAAGAAAGTTTAGCGCCCAGTTCATTGTGGCGTAGAGGCTCATAAGATCGCCCCTCATCACATGGCATGTTTATGGTCCTTGAATAGAAGGATCCTATTCTGCTGCTGACCCCAACCTCTGACCCTCCTTGGAGGAGGGTAAGTGAAAACAGAATATATTTCAAACTAAGAATCATCAAAACATCTGTGGCAAAATGTGCCTAAACATCTTTCTTCCAGCCAGCACAGGCTGATGTGAAAGAAAATAAGCACAGGAACAAAGTGACATTTACTCTTCCAGACTGGCATTACTTCCAGTGGTTTGTCATTATTTTGAAATGCTCATAATGAACCTCCCCCTCCTTGTGTTCTTGTGACAGAAAGTTCACACTAAATGTCACACAACTTCATCGAGTCTGGTCCTTCAGGCCTCGCTCTTTCTTTCTGCTCTTTCTTTTCATTTCATCTCGGTGCTCTATTACCACAAGTGTGCATATTAACAGCATCAGGTTTCCTCAGCCTTCACCCTTTCTGCAGTCAGCCTGTACTCAGAAAATGGTTCTGTAACTGTGAATGGCTTGTTTACCTCTACAGTAGGCACATAAACAGTGCTCTGTTTGTGCATGTTTTGTGTGTGTGTTGTTGCTTGGTATCTTTGCAAAAAAGTGTTTTTTAGGACCAAATATGGCCTCACTTAACTACTGATGGATTTTGAGATGCTACAGCTCATCATTAAGAGGCAGGTGGTAGGCCTGAAGTGATTCAAAGTAAAGCTCAGTAACTTCCAACACCGTAACAGAGGTAAAACCTACATGTCTTTGCATTTCATTCATTTTGACTTCATTTTAGTCCTTCTATAGCAAAGTGTCATGGACTCTTTTCCTCTGAAGCTCGGTTGGATGTGAATTAAACCCTTCATTCTCATGAGAAACTTCTGAAGTCTGTGGCATGTAAGGTTTCCACAAATCACATAACCATTTTTATCTGTCCCTTTCCGCCAGAGACAATTCCAAAATGAAAGCTATTTTTCCAGTCTTTAATTGGATTCTTCTCTTTCTGATGGCCTCAGCTATCTGCTCCCAAAAGACAGAAACTTCCTCACCTCAAACTCAACTTCAAAGATATCAGCCCCATGCTACCCTCCTACAGGGGTGTGAGTTTAAAATCACGAGTGAGCTTTTCTGTGACAAAATTGTAGAAGAGCTTTAAGCAAATGCTACCAGCAAGGCTGAGGATTTTAGCTGACAGAGCAAATGAACAATGGTTATTCTCTTAGTCTCCAAACCTCTATACAAAGCTTGGCATCCACTGGTGCTGACAACTGGCTCAGTCTTCTTAACTGCAGGTTTAAGTGATCAACTGTCACTATCTTGTCAGGAATTCCAGTTGGAAAGATGAGATTGTAAAACACCTCGTAATTGGTTTGAGACAATAGAGAATAACAAGATTGACATTGGAGAAATGGAAAAAGTGGCTTGTTTTGCAAAGGTGCAGTTTTTGCTGATGTGAGTGCCACGTGCACTTTGTCTTTTTTGTCTGAATTAACAAATGGAAGAATCTTCTCCAAAAAAAGCTGAAAAGTTAAGTTATTACAACTGAAATTCTGTCTGCATAGAAATCATTCTCAGGCAGTAAACACAGCAGAGGATTATCCTGTCAGTCCTTGTTAAAAGCATCATTCATCAAAGTTTATATACAGAATGTGTCTGTAGAGAGACCGTGTGATGCCCATTCAGTAGACAATGCAGAATTAAGATACCCTTTCTCAATCAAGCTCTCATCTTTAAGCCTTCCTCTTCATGTTAAGCACCTACTTGTGAGTGCAGACATGCCAAGTGCTTTTTCAAGCATTATGGGGACATCTGGTGGTGACAAAGTATAAGAAATACCAACAGAAGAATGTGTTCAGGCAAAAATATATGGCTTTATTTGATATACAGACAAACAAATCCTGAAGGTGTTTGCCTTTTTACTGTGTGTATCAACAACATCTGCAGGACATAAAACCAAACTGGAAAGAAAATGTCAAAACAACAAGAAATCATGCCAGTAAATTGCCTAACATTTCAGAAAATGGGCATTTTTACTGTAACCATACTGACAACCCATGAACAACCATACTGTATTTCACTTTAGTGTTGCTTGGCAGGAATTCTGTCACAAAAGAAGATTTTTACTGGGTGACTCAGTCAGGGAGAGACAATATTAAACCCATGTCATTACTAAAACCACTTCTGGTCCTTGCTGTGTGGGGGGTGGTTTTTTATACAATGGGGAGCCTCTCCCTGTCAGGAGTAATGGCTGCCATAAATCCAGCTGCACAGAAGCATAAAGCAGTACATCCCCCTGCCAAGAGCTGGACCTATATATCTGGACAGAAACCGACGCCTTTCTGGCTCATCTTCACCTTCTTTCTTTAAGTAAAATGGGTCAAGAGATGCAAAAAGGCAACATATGAAGGTTTTCTTCATCCCTACAGCATTTTGCAACTACTACTAATATTTACTTACATCGCAAAGTACAAAGAAAATGTTTTTCCTCAAGCTACATGGGGTGAAAATATGCTTTTAATGGTAGAAACATGTCATAAATACACTAAAAAGCTACTAATTGCTTTACAAGTGCAACCTGCAGTACATTGAAGTTTAACTGAATTTCACCTCGATTCAAACCAGCACAAAGGCCTTTTATTTGCAGCGCCATGTGTATTAATGTGAACAGTATTGTTCTGCATACTGGCCTGGATTCTCATTAAAACAAAGAGGATTTAGTCCTGATTTTGGTCACCCACATGGCCTAAGTTATGCACTAGGCATAAACCACCGACCACTATGTGTCTGCTGACAAAGCCTTGCCAACAAGGTCAATAACAACACAGGATTTATAGCCTACGTTGCAGCAAAAAGCCCTCGATTCCTTTTGTTCAATATATAATTTCAGCAGTTTAACAAGGCCCCAGGCTATTAAATCAAATATTACCATATCTTTTTACTGCCAGAAATCCACAGCAATACGTTATAGTTTTCCTCATTTGAAATGTTTATTGTCTACTGCATCTCCATGACTTTTCCCTGAGGTAAGGAGTATGCTAACTGAAAGCATATTCTTAAAAAAGCTACAGCTACAAAGCCACCCCACCTTTAGCAATGTCCTTGGACGGTATCTCTAAGTCAACAATGAGATGGGATGTGGTGAAAATATGCTTGGCAACTTTCTGTGAGAACATTTACTTTGTTTAATCCAGTGACTGAGGAGATAATCCTCTCACTAGTCTGCATGTCATGGCCCTGGCTGGGTGCCCTGTAACACCATCTTCCTCCAGTGGAGGGCAGCATTTTTCTGAATCAAAACTGTAACTGTAGTAGCAGCCACAAACAAAGTCAGCTCTCAAATAATACAGTGGATGGAAAAAGCAATATCAAATGGAATAGGCCAGGTAATCTCTACAATGGCCCAGACAGGATTTTATACTAGTCTACAGTGTCATATGTCTGAAACAAACCCAGACTGGGCGTTTCAAAATTAAATTTGACATCTGTCACAGATGAGGCTGTATTTATTTCCTGGTTGATTTTAAAAAAGCATCCATCTAGATGTTGCAGAGTTTATCCCCATCAGCATGTAAAGCCTGAGATGGAACAAACTATGAGATGATTTTAAGACACTACTGCAACCATCCCTTCTGTATGTCTTCTATAGCCAGTCATCTGTCTAAAACTATATTAGCTTCAGTGGAGCCCAGAACAAAACTTGCTTCTGTAATTGGACAACATTAGATGGTAATGGTATTCATCTGAGCTGAATTACTAGAAGACTTGAACCCCCCCCCGATACCCTCCAAGATCCACAGAGGACTAAATTAATTAGAGACTGCTGCCTTTCCTTGTTGTGCCTGCAACGCTGTCTCCTGTAGAAGAAAAGCTGCAGTGCAATGTTATCAGGCTTAGTGCACATGTGCAGTGTGCATGACTGTCTCTCTGATTTAGCAGGGTGTCCATCTGCAACTATTCTGTACATATGTGTGTGCATATAGGACTTGGGGTATACATGTCTGTGTGTCAGTAATCTTTTCATTACAGAGAAAACCCCCTCGGTTGGAGCTCTTTGCCTAATCAAAGGGCTGGGAGCGGATCTCGGCCTCGCTACTAAAGCAAACATCAGGGACACAATACACGGCACTGGTTTTTCATTCATAAATAAAACATGCCACTAGGCTGTTTGTGTATGTTTGCTCATCAGCAAGACTGACTTCAAATGATAGTGTAACATGAGGAGGCTTTGGCTGCTTTGCTGTCACATATATTTGAAATGCCAGGTCAGATGTGCTAAACAAGCAAATTAAAATTTATTATTTTGACAAAAGTTTGGAAAATAATTAAAGGTAAAATGTAAATTTAAATTCCATGTCATTCAAATATTTCCATCCCAAGGATACAGCATTAATTATGGCACCCGACAAAGATATGTAGGAGTTTCTTCATGAGGAGACATTCACAGGTACATAAAGGATGTTTTCTGAGATGACTTGTTATTGAAATAAGGTGAAGTCTAAACAGTATTTTATTCACTAAAAATCTGTCCTACATCCCCCAGGGCTCCATCAATTATTATGGAGAGCCACTACATTACACTCCGTGATTGCCGCCAGCACTATAGCAAGTAATACATACACCCCAGGAATATGCTAAATCATATGAGTGACCCATTTATCATTGCCAAGGAAGCTCCTCCACCCCACCCACACACTCCAAGTCATTCAGTCACACACACACAAGAATACACTTCAGGGAGTGGGTGAAAGGGAAGGTGTGGAGATGCGATTTGGGCCTGGCTGTCAGTGCTTGTCACCCGGTGAATGTGCTAAGCGCTGGGGGGGCCCCACCTTGGCCCTTGTCCCTGTCCATGGCTGATAAGACCAATCTGCAGAGACAACACCTGAGTCCCCCTTGGTCCCCAAACCTTCATGCTGTCACACAACCTTGAAACAGCTGTCAGAAACACTCTATGAAGGTCCCTCAGCAATGGAGCTCCATGAGGACTGAACCTTTCTCCCTGTCTCTTAAAGCTGCGAGCCCCTCAGAACACTTCTTTATCTACTGAAAGCACACTACAAAAGATGGCCATCTTAAACGTGCTTTTTATAGGAGTGTGAACAGCAATAAATCACTGTCAAATAAACCGTGATCCTTCCATCCAACTACCACAAAGTAATCATTAGGTTATTCCAACCCATACAGTGGAACTATCTTTAAAATTAAGACTGCTAATCAATAAACAATAATAATTAATGAGGTAATTATACTAAAACACTATATCTACAAATTATAAATCCCATGTCTGTGTTCATTACTCGTATGTGTCAAATAATTTGAGCATTTTATTCCTGAAAAATGTCAAATAAAAAATGATTGATTGATCTTGAAATGTATCCAATCAAATGTGATTTGGGGTGACTTTCTAACTTGTTTTGTAATATCTGCTCATGACAGCTACTGTACAGTTAAGCAAACACCTCATCGGTATGGTATGGTTACCATAGGCTTAGCCAAATGAAAACAAACTATGGTTAGGGTCAGAGTTAAGGCTTGTGGACTAAAACACTTGATTATCGTGGTTAATAAAAATGCTCCTATCGCCTTCATAAAAAATTGCTACTGTACATACTAGAAAGTTGTCCGCGACCTCAAATTCTAGCCACTTACTTTTCACCTTGCTAATCTCAAAGTGTGGTTTTGTGCAGTATGGATAATATCCTTGGGGATATTGAACTGTTTTTACAGAAATTATACCTGAAGCTGAATCAGCAACAAGCAGATACAAGTGAAGTGAACTTACCTCATTTGTTTGAAAAGTAAAAAGAGAGACTGCCTCAGCATCAAATATCTGCTCCCTCAGTCCTCGCGGGTAGTCAGTTTCACTTGTTACCAACTGCTGTATGTCACACACAATCTTGCAGACTCTACCACATGAGAAATCTGTTTACATGGACAGAAACAGCTGATTCCTATCTCAGCTCCAGGACCTATTTTACCATACCATCCCACCCATTTCCCATTTTATATTCACAACCACAGCAGTTCCCTTCTTATCTTAATTTTCTACATAACATACGCTTGAGAAATCAAATTTTAAATGAAAGTTCCAGAACTAAGCAAAAACAATTCTCTTTATAGTTCATGTGTATGCTTTGCACAGCCATGACCAAACCAAACGCTGGGGAAATAACTGTGTGTGAATGTATTGTATGTGTGAGGCTCATGTCTGTTTAAGCTCAGATATCACAGAGTGGCCACAAAACCCAAAGAAAAATAAAGCTTGTCTCTTTCAAAGCCTGGGGGTTTATTTTCACATGTTGTTTAGACAGCCATTTCCAGTGGTCGTAATCTTACCTAACAGTTTTAAATGCCTTTTTAATGGAAAGCCCAGCCCTGTCAGCAGAGCAGGCGGCGCTGCCTTTACGAGCCTACATGTGGACTTGTGTTTTCTGCCTGACAGGAAACCCAGCATCTTGCCCCTGACAGACTTAGATTGCACTTTAGAGAGGCATCAAAAGGGACACAGGAGACTGAGAGCAGCCTTGCCCAGTACCACACCTCTGGGCTGGGGTGTGAAGAATTCCAGAGAAAACCCACAGCAGCGATGAAGCTGTGAATGAGCAGTTTGACTGGAGACAGACAGGGCAGGCTTGCTGGAAAAAGACTGAGGCCCTCACAGAATAAACCATGGCCTGTGCTCTGTCACACACCTAATGGAAAATCCACAGTTCTTCTTGTACGAGTTTTAAAGATGGTGCACTATGGAGACTGCCAAGTGCACCATGTCCAAGCCCTAATATTACGTCTAAGAAACAGAACTGGTGGCGGTTTGACCATATCACTCCGAACTAATAACAGAGCATCTTGTGTGGTCATATTTGAGATGGCATACTGTGCAGATACTTGAACTCCTGCCCTAAAAACTGACATGACATCATTCTTCTTGTTGTTTTGCTCTTAGCTAAACATCTTAACTGTTTATTGCAGATTTTATATACAGCTGTATGGTTTCAATATTGTTTGTGTGTTTTATTGTCTGTAACTTTTTAGTGTTGCTGTCTTGCCGAGTCTCCCTTGCAAACAAGGCTATAAACCTCAATGGGATTTATTGCCCTGGTAAAATAAAGGTTAAATAAAAATAAGAAATAAAATAAATTATTCAAAAGGTTTTATTCTTTCTCCCAAATGATCCATAACAAAAGAGTCACTGTTGTGTTTCACAACAGGAGACCCAATTAAAACACACTCCTCAGTAAACTAGGTTGTTATTGCTACTTCATTTACAGCTATATAACTGTGCAAGTGAGACCTGAGGTATACAGTTATGGCAGTGTGTTCTAGCGCCCTGCACAATAATAAAGACGCCCTTCACATTCTTTTCTTACACAACACAGTAGTAATGGTGGGGCATAACGTGTCCCTGTGGAGCTACTCAGCAGAAGCAAAAGAACAGGACTGCAATGGGTGGCACCGCTGCTTTTGCTTTTTCTGATCATGTTACACAGAAGACACTAATGGATGTATAGAGGGTAGAGCAGGGCAGGGAACAGAAAGGCATCAGATACAGAGATACAGATACAGCCACTTCACAAGTGTGCAGCTGTTTTAATCCATCTCTCTAGGTTAGTCCCTTGGCAGGTGAAGATGGGGCTGGGTAAATGGGAAGCATGGAAGTGGGTGTCAGGGTGCAGGGGTCTATAGGGCACAGGCTGGTGAGCAGTTCACACATCACACTGCCAGCATAATTATCTTCCTGATGCAGCAGTCTTTCTCATTTCTACTGAAGAACCACGCCTGAGCTCGAAGCCTCCCAGGAAT